TATATATATATATATATAGAGAGAGAGAGAGAGAGAGAGAGAGAGAGATAGGCTCTAAACAATCAAATTAGAGCCTACCTCAAAAATTTAACTAAAAGAAGATCATATCGACATCAAGATGCCTGGACATGAGAAAAAAAAAATGGATTTCAAGTTTTGGAAATAGTGTATTTTGTAACGTATTTTTGGACCATCAATTTTCAAGATTTTCAAGTTTTCATTGATCTGTCGGTCTACACTATTTTTTAAGCTTTAAACTTTATAAATAAAGATGAAAAGATATTTTAAGGTTATCACAAATATTTCTAGTATTGAAACCATATTTCTCGACACTAATTGAAGGTAGGCTCTAATTTGATTGTTTAGAGCCAGTGTTCACAAAACTGGCCGGTTAGATCGGTACTGACCGGTTAGATCAGTACCGGCAAGGTACCGATTCCGATTAAGGCCGGTTTTATGGAACTAGTAAAAATTCGAGGACCTCCAAAAACAATGAGCACGAAAACCGGCCGGTTCGAGGTCAAACCGTTAGTTTTAATGAAAAACCGGCCGGTTTCTACTAACCGGTCTGGTTTTCTGATATAATAGGCGATATATCGGATATAATGGTATTTCATTACATAATGACCGTTATTTCATGCAGAGGCTGTTATTTTAATCTGAGCTTCAATACCCCATAGAAATGGAGGGCTTTGATTCATTACTGAAGCCTTAAACTTTTTCCTATTTCAAATTGTTGAAAAAGATGAATTTTGGAGGTTGATTTCGGCCAAAAATGTTGCTGCTCGAAGAATTGTGTTCGATAAAAAAAATTTGATTTTTGATCAATATATTGATCGTTTTTTATTGAATTGATCAGTTAATTTTGATCATCAAAGCTTCATAAATCGAATACATTAGGTATGTTGATTTATCATTAAGTATATTTATTTATATGAATTTTTGTTTGCTGCATTTTTGTTTTGAAAATTGCGTGAAGTGAAATATCCGTCATGTTTTGAAGAACGATCTCAATTGTGAATTGATCTTCATAATATTTGGGGAATTTAAATTGTGATTGAAGTATCTATCATATGCCCATGTCAATTTGTTCAAAAAATGAAAGATTTGGGGCTGATTTTGACTATAATTGTGTTCTTTGGCTTGATTTTAGGGTTCTTAAAAAAAAAATTGTTTCTTAATAAAATTATTATTATTATTTTTTATAAAAATATGTT